TCTGTGGACTTTTACTGGAGTAGATACAGAAACTGAGCTGATTTTAGCACGATCTGGTATTTTCAACGTTGGTGAGAGGGAGAAACTCTACGAAACAGGTACCATCTGCCCGCATCACAGAACAGAGCTTGGTTTAGGTTGGCGACCAAGTGTTCCGTCCCACAAGAAATTTCGAAACACGAGAAAAGAAAAGGAGATCGCGGGATTTCTTTGTCGATATCTGAACAGATTTTGCAGAGGACAGGTGTGCTTGTTTAAGTTGGTTCAGGTAAACTTAGTTTGAAAACAAGTCACAACGCTTGCATTTTGGAATGCAGAGAACAACATCAGTAATTTATGATAATAAGCATACAGTTAATTATTAACAATATGGTTCTTGCGCTACATCTGACAAAGATGTAAAAGTTTCAGCTACCTTTTATCTTGCTCTACGCTTTTGTTCTTTTTACGTGGAAATGTGCATATCACTGATTTCTGTAACTATTTCATATCCAAAGGTATTTGTAGGCATTGTAGAGAAAGTTTCGATGTGTGCAAAGAAACCCAAAGTGGTTGTTTATATGATCAGGGGGACTGCGACACACCCCGCAGCATACAAGCCCTTTCGAATGAGATTGGTTCTCTTAATTGGTAAGTATACCATCTTTAAACATTTAGAAAGATAGAGAGAGATAAGTTTATTAAAAATATATAACGTTGCAGCTGTAATGTGTTGTTAAATCTACAAGTTTTTGTTTTTGGGAAACAAAAACTCGTGTCCGTCGAAGACTATAACGTCAACATGACATGTAAGAACTAAAAAATCAAGGCGTAATATGTATTTATGCATGCACTGACGTCTGAGACAAGGATTTGTGTTAAAATTCCGGCGCCCTGTACCGAATACCCGGAGAAAAACTTGCCGCTAAAATATAGTTAAAGTTGCTCCTACTGAATAGCTAAAACTGTTGTCCCCCTAATACCCGTATACGCGCTGTTAAATGTGCGTAAATCCAGTCTCGCCGCTTTAATTCCTGCCCTGTCCCCGGGCGTCTGGGGCGTCGTCGTATGCCATCTCTTTATTGGATCGTTTGTATTATCTTGTTGTGATGCACACAAAGTATGCCGAGAAAATAAAAGTGATTAGTGTGACAAACCTTCAAGTTTATTAATACACCCCTGACTTTAATAGGTTTCAGGACGAGTAATTCAGTCATCTGACTGAAATGTAACTGTTTTACCATTGTCATACCATTATCATACCTGTCATACCGTTGAAAATACCCTTAGGCCGCAGTGTTTGATGGGAGAGAGGCAGATGGCGTGCTGCTAAATAGAGCTAGTTCAAAAACGTTGAATACTAAATACTAGCACTGTATGTGTTCCAAGACCAAATGCATTATGGGTCACAGTAACATTGTCTAAACTATGACCAATAATAATTGTTCATTTATTTATTTWTAGTTTGTGCATCCAATATGAAATATGAAACATAGCTGCATACGAATAGCAAATACCTGTATATTTACTTTTTATTTCAAATTAACGAGACCCCAAATACCATTTGCACTTGCAATGCGCTATACACCCTTCTCATAATGGCTGATGAACGCACGTAAACGAGGTCACCCAGTCATCTTGCAAGGTTGAGCCAAGCTGATCATTCAAAATAAAGGCTGTTAGCGCTAATTAAGATCAAAACAAATGTCATTTTTTATACTTTTCTTCTTTAAAGTCATTTCATGTAATTTTATATCTTTTAT